CCCCCCCATCCCCAGGTCTCTGTAAGGGTACCTTTTGCAGACAGTGAGTCTTCTGTAATATAAACTTTTCTATTATCATCTTAATAACATTTTCCTCTGCTAAGAAGAGAACATTTTACATTGCCATGAATTCAATTTTCACAAAAACAAAAAAGAAATCTAGTGGCACCTTAAAAACCTACTATTGTCTAAGCTTTAGCAGGTGAGCAAACCTTTTTGGTAAAAGACAAAATCAAATAATGTTGCATGATGTTCTGTGCAGTAGGGAGCCAGGGAGATGACCTTGGAGAAGGAATCCAGAGTCTGTTAGGGGAACATCCGGTGCAGAAGATACATGTGCTAAGTCCAGAGCGGGGGGAGACTATTGCAGAGAGACTCGGACAAGCACTCCCCTCAACTCCCAGAGCCCAGAGTCACTTTATGTGAGATGGGTGGCTATATAAATACAATAAACAAACAAACTCAAGGAAGTATAAGAGGGAGGGAAGGAAAGACATGGGGAGACTTGCACGATTGACGTTAGCCCTTCGAGGTAGGCCAGATTGGGCAACTGACTCCATAGGATGACTAGAACGATACTTTATTGAGATGGGCTTTAATAACAGAGTCTGCCCTTGCTTGTCTTCCCCTTATTTGTTGTGCAATTCTGTGGCAACTTAAAACATTTAAGGGCAAGCAGACCTGTTTGTAACATCCATCTCGATGAAAGCATCTGATCGTATAATTCATATCACAAACCATCTTTTCATCCATCCTCCAAAAAGAAACAGACCTGAAATGGTGATGACCAAGGAGTGGAAAACTCCTGATTTTAATACTCATATTTAAATAGTTTTCTTTATTATTAGGAGTAGCTGGAATAGAAGCAGCCAACTTTGTTTTTTTCTTGACAGATTGCCTTTTGCACACTTGCTAGAAGAAAATCTAAGCTATCTTGACAGTTTTAGCGCTGTTATACAAGAGGCAAGACACGACCAGAGTAGCAGCATGATGGTGAGTTGACACCGATACTTGTAATAAACAATTCATTTATTAAGAAGAAAAGACAGTTTGGAAAATGGGTAATTCTCTAATTCAGCAAGAGAAACTCATCTACTTCAGAAGGAAAGGAAAATGTCCAAATACTTAGCATAAGTGTTTCTTTTGGGGGGGAAACGTTTAAATTGGGGTGAATTTTCAGCAGGTTTTTTTTTCTGTTTCATCCTGTTAACTAAGGGTAGGGTGAGGAGAAAGATAATTCATGTTTTCTTCCACATACGCTGCTTGGTACACCACCACTGACCTCGTGTGAACTGTAACCCACAGGATTCTCCGCTAGTTTGCTCAAGACAGGTGCTCTGAAGGAAGTTTGGAAGGTCAAAAAGAAACACACCACCTCCCTGGGATGCAGTGAACGGGATGATCAGTCCCATCCTGCGAGTAAAGGGAGTGATGAAAAGGAATCTTCCAGTTCCTGGTCCTTTTAGTAATAAGGCCAGCGGCTCTCAATCTCTGCCGCTTGTTCTGTTTTTGGGATTTGGCTATTTTTTCCTACAATTCCCACACACTTCATTCAAAATTTCAGCATCAGAATTCAAAATCTCAAGCCAGCAAGCGGGTGGGGGTGGGGGGGACTTAAATGTCCTCCATGCATTTCCTGTGAATCTGTTATAAATTGCCATTCCCCTTGTCAATTAATCCAGATTACCATTGACCTTGCCAGTTGAAGGCCACTGTGGAGTGACTCTGCTAATTCTTGTACACATGGTTGATTTAATTATCCAAATAGTCTTGTTCAGGGGCTATGAGGGTTTTTCTCCTGTTGCCATAATTGACTACTGTGCTAGCCAAAAGGAATCCCAAATTTTTCCACCAAATTGCAATAGTCCTGCTACCGAAGAAAACACATGGGTTTTCCAACCAGCAAAAACAGTAATATTTAGTACAATCTCTCAAAAGCATTTACTTGAGAGAAAACATTTGGAGCTTGCAATTTGGAGTTTGCAAAAATATTTGGAGCTTGCAGACTAACTTGTGGGAAAGCCACAATTTCTCTTTGTTTGGGGTGCAGGTATTTTAGATGAGTTCTGTGCAAGGGAACTGCCATGCAGTTACCAGAGTAAAGAAAAAAACAGAGATAGCTCCTCAATTGTTACTTTGGCTTTTTGCCCACTTCGTATTTATTACTTCATAACAGTACTGAGAGCGCTTCAGGTTATTGCCCTTTCTTTTACAGAGTCTTGACTGGAGTTGGCTGAATTAGAGCATCCAGGTGTGGCACATCCATATTTGCAAAAATGGGCCTTTGACCTAAAGTACCATGTTCCCTTTATTTAAAGAAGGACCCAGACCGAAGTTCTTGCATTTTTATCCAGTTCTGCAGTTTGGGAAAAGTGCCTCTGCTTCTCACTCTAAAGCACCACAGAATGCCTTCAGTCAGAGGATACAGAGCGCACGCTGTATGGCCCAAAAGGTCCTGTTGTAGTACAGCATCAGAGGGTTGGAAGAGACCTTGGAGATCTTCTGGTCTGACCCCCAAAAATTTATGGAAATCTGCTAAGGCAGAAATAATGAAAGATGTAAAATAAATTATCCGTTATATAGTTTATTATGTGCTTTGTGAATTGTTCTCTTTTCTCTGCTCCACACAGAAATTATTCATAGTTTACTTCTAATTAACAACATTAGGGATATTTTTGTAATATATTAAACGTTGGTTTATTTTTTGTTTTTACTTTGAAAATGTCTGATATCGGACCTCAACTTAAAATATCAGAAATAAAATAATCTCAGTGTACAAGAGATCTGCTTGAGGTTTTTATGTTTTGGTTCGAATGTTAGAATTAGAAGGAGGAGTTTCAAACCATCTGCGATTAAAGAGTAATAGCTTAATAAACTAAAGAGCTTTCTTAATATTGAGAGTAATTTTGCAAAACTCTGCCCTGTTGACTTTATGGGTAGTAAGAATGTTGAGCACTCATCTCACCAAATATGATCCTGAGGTCTTAAGATTCATGTTAGGGGAATTAATGGTCACCATTACACACAATATATGATGGCATATTTCTGTTTTTATTTTTAGTTTAGATTTAACTCTGTTTTATGCTTGGTTGATGTAGACAACCAGGAACTATTTTCTGACTCCATGGTATACAAATACAATCAAGCAAGCAATGAAAATTTGAACTCTGATTGATAAGTCTAACCGAACAGTGAAGAAAATCATTTCCCTGATCTAGGTGGCAATTAGTCAATGATTTTTCTTCAGAAGAAATCAAAGTGGCTAACAGAGAAATCAGTAGGCACCACAATTTTAAAACCAGAAACAGGAATGTCCACAGGGGGGTGTCAAAAGTCAAGATGGTGGCTGCGACCAAGTGATCAAAGCCCCACCCCCTTTTTACATGTGTTGCATGCAGTGCACGTAAAAAGGGCGGGGCTTTGTGCAGTCCTGGCTGCCATTTTGACTTTTTTGACATTGGTAACCAGAAAACAGCACAGTTGGAAATAACAGAAATGGTAAAATACAAAGAAACAGCCAAACTGCATGAAAACAAGCAGGAAAAAAAATTAAAATCCCATTGTGATATGATGATGAACACAAACCAATAGTTTGCATATTCTTCTCTCTCTCTTTCTTTCCTCTTTCTGTATAGTAAATGAAAATGCCCCAGTTCTTCAATATCTGCTACAGTTAAACTGGAGGTAGCTGAAGCAGTATTCAGATCTCAAGTTATTAAACATTCTGAAAGAGAAAATCTGCATCTTAAAATAATAGCCAGTACAGATCAAGCTACAACAAAGTCATATGCCAACTGCCCCTGACAGTAGTTTGGTGGCTCCATTTATAGGCAGCTCCATATAAACACTTGAAGATGATTTTGGGTAGAAATTATTTGAAGATAAATGACCGTGGTCAGGTCTTCTCCAGAAAAGTTACAGAGCTATTCTAATCAAATCAGGTCAGGAAGGACCAGGTATATTTCCAGTAAGTGTGCCAGTGGCTGCCAACCTTGCTTTGCAAGACCATGGCATGATAGCTATAGCCAGAAATCACCAACACCCTGAAACTGGCTCCCCAATGATTCTGAGCCCCAAGTACACAACAGCTACAGAGGAACATCAACAGAGGAACCCAAGCCCCAATCAACTAAGACTACCCTGTCAGATCTGGGTCCCCGCTCCACGTAGTCACTATCCGCACAGGAGTCCATTGACCTAGTCCAGTCCTGGGGCAGAGTAGAAACGGTCTCATCAAACCACTCACTTTTCAAGAGGCAAACCCAAACTCCTTGAAAAGGGATTAAATAATTAGGTTGGTCACAGAGCAAATGAAATGAGAAAGGTCTCTACCATACCTGCCAAGTGCCTGGACAGGAAATGGTTAGTGCTTGCATTCACAGATTCTGAAGAGGTGGGAGGTGGAGGAAGACACAGAATATGGGGCTACAACTGAGAAAAGCCTTTTGATGGGTCATCCATTTCCATAACAGCAGCTTTGCTGAGCTCCTGACTCAGCCCCTGCCCCCCCACACACAATAACTTGACAGATCAGCTTCTGCAGGGGTTCTCCAGCTGACTTCAAAGCAGTTCCTCATAATCCTCTGAATGCATTGCCATGACAACAGAGCTTGCCCCTAGACCTTTGATTCCAGGATGACATGGAATAGTTCTCTACCATCATTTTGCTCCTGCCAAGACTGCAATGCACTTCACCAGACATGCCAGCTGGTCTAACTTGTAGTAGCTGATAACTGCTTTGGGGATATAGGTGTTTAATCTGTGCTACTCCTGGTGGCCTTGGTGTGGCTTAAAGACATGGAATAAAATTATTCTTCCACACTTTTTTTGCAGTTGTGCATATTTATCAGAGATTGTTCCTTACCTATCAACGCCATTTGGGGTCATTTGGGACACAACATACACACTTCACATGGAATGGGAGCATAGATTTGGTGCTCCATCCAGAAAACTATCTTTCAGTCGATGCTACCATCCTCCACAAGTGTCCATGGTTTCCCCTTGCTAGAAGCACTAGACAATAGAGGGATGCCCAGGCAAGTGAGTGGCTGCTGGAAGTAGCCCCGAGATGTTAGCCTTGCGAGATAGTCCAGCCAAGAAGCACACCCAGAAGTACTAGCTCTGACATTATTATGAGGTTACATTAACAGAATCTTGCAAGTCTGAAAGTACACTTCTCCCCTGTTGCCTTTACAGCTCAAGAAACTAGGGAGGGTTCCTTCTAAGACATTTGCCACAACCCCATTCCT